CCTTTGACTGTCTAATATATTTATTTTCAGGGCATTTACAGAATAATGAATAAAAAATTCAAAACTAAGAAATGAAAATTTTGCCAGTTTCTCCCTTTAATGTATGAATTTGTATGAATTTAATAGAATATTATGAAATCTGGACATGATAAAATAAAACATCCTGTCTCATAAATTTGTGCATAATTTTAAGAAAAAAAGATTAATCAATCTTGCTAGCAGACTGAAGGTTAATATTTATCAACAGTACATGTTATATAGCATCTACTGTGTAATATTCTTTTTATGTTTTTGTTGAATTATGAAAAATTCAAAATTGAAGTGAAACTACTCTTTTATATGAGACCTTATACTAAGAATGATATAATTTGTTTTCCTTTACTGACTTGAATACATGTGTTATTTGCCAATCATTAACTCTATTACATTTTACTGTATTATATTGGGGCTCTATTATATTTGCAGGCGAAGAGAATACCAGGTGTAAGAATATTCAGATTTGAACAGTCGTTATTTTTCCTTAATAAGGAACACTTCAGAACACTACTTTACAAAAATACAGTCAATCCAATTACACTAAAAATTGCTCAAGATAAAAAGGCTAAAAAGCTTAGGAAACTTCAAGCAAAAGTAAGTATTGCATGGTTTTTAAAATACAAAATAACTGTTTTTGTGACTTTTGCTACCGGCTTTATGTCAGTTGAGTGATATATTTCCATCATAATCAAATTAACTTTAATAGTTTGATATATATTGCACAGTAAATTGTCTATGGTAAAAAAAAAGCTACAACAACATGTGAATATAACTTAATTGTTTTTACATACCAATGATCTGTCTAACACTTTCACCGGGGATAAATATTAAAACAAACAACGGACATAACATATTAATAGTTATGTAACATTAAAATAGTGGAAAAAATGTATATTGTTTAATGTTAACAAGTCCAGACAAATAGTTATTATGTGTTTTCTAGGAAACAAAAAATGAAGATGAAACAGTACCAGAGAGTAACCATGTAGAAGTAGAGTTGAATACATTATCTGATACTGCCACTGTACTTGTTGAAGGTATAGAGGGGAGCAAATTAGATTTGGACTTTCACACTATCATATTTGACTGTTCATTGTGGAGTTTCGTGGATTCTATGGGTGTCAAGGTGCTAAAAGCTGTAAGTTTGAATATCTGTTGTACATGATAAAGTGAAAAGTAGAATATGATGAATAGGCATGTTGTGCTGTAACTTTTACCATGCCAAAAATCTTAAATGGACTGGTCCATTTTTCAGTCTCTACAAAACCATTCAAGTTTTTATAGGGAAAATTTTAAAATGTGTTCTGACTGAATAATCAACAGTACAGATCATGACTGTGCCAGCTGATCTTGGTCGGGACTAGTCCTATGGGTTGATTTTCTAGTGGCTGGCTGGCTAAGAGTAACTGAGAGAACTTCTAGTGAAATTTGTCTCATTGGATTGCAAATTTTATTATTCTAAAAATTTCTAACATCAGCCAATGTTGTAGCAAATCAGATATTTTCGGTACATTCCGGTACATTATTTATTGAAAATCTCAGGTATTGAATTATTTACAATCACTCATCCTTTATTGCTATGTTCTTAATTCCAGTAATAAACAGTTACAGAAGTTCTTGAAAAAAAAATGTTCCAGAAATGACCGATATATTAGGATATATATTGGCCGATGTTAGAAATCTTTTGGCGGGAAAGCATTACAGTAAAACTACCTGAATATGATAAAAACTGTTTTCATTTAAGTTTGAAACTTTTCTTTCAGGTGATAGGTGAATACAAGGCTGTTGGTATTCAGATTTTAATGGCAAATTGTAAAGGTATCTTTTTTCAAAACTCTCTTGCCTTCATTTCTATTAAGAATGGATATGATTTATAATTAATGTAATTAAATTGAATTGTAATGATTTTGTAATTTTATATAATTTGCCAATAATTTTATTAAGTTATTTCATATCATTTGTATGATCGAAATAAGTTATAATATCAATTTGTAATAAGTTTTTAAAACTTAGTTAACTTAATTGTTTTATTTTTTAAGCCTCTCCCCCCTCATTGATCATTATAAAAAATTGCTCGTGTCTATCTGTCCTGCAGACAATAGGCTGACGAAACAGTGGAATGTGGTGGTATCTGTGTCTGAGGGACACATTTCTAGTATATAAATTGTTATATTTTAGAAAATCTATCACATTTGTTTATTGTATATATATTGTTTCTTGGTTGTTTATTATGTAAACATTTCAATGTAAATCACATACCTTTGTTTATTACAGAAGCATATATATATATAGAAGCATATATATTGTATCACAGTTGTTTGTTACATAAGAATATTTATCACATGCCCATGCTGATTTTGCGACTCCGTAAAAATGGTATTGCACAGGCAGTGCATATATTTTGACATGATGTCATTTGCGTTATACAAACATAGCGTAAAGACAAAGCTAAATATCAGTGCTACACTATAGGTGCGTCAATGAAAAAATTTTCTTTTGCACTTTATATTCGTGTAGGTACATTACTGAATTTATTGAATTCATTGTAGAAAATAATATTTTGCTCGCCAGAGGCTTGCATAATATAATTATATTCAACTTGTTCAATAAATTCAGTATTGAACTTACACTCATTCAATATCCTCCATATATTGTATTATAGTTGTTTATTACATAGGCATATATATTGTATCACAGTAGGTGTACGAGAGATGTTTGAGAAGACCAAGTTTTATGATACATTAGATGAGGACAGAATATATGTGTCAGTTCATGATGCTGTTATACATTCTATACAGGTATACCACACCTTTAACTTTAGATTCTCACTATTTAGATAGTTTATGTTTAGTTATTGCATAGTTTATGTTCAGTTATTGCATAGTTTATGTTCAGTTATTGCATAGTTTATGTTTAGTTATTGCTTAGTTTATGTTCAGTTATTGCATAGTGTATGTTCAGTTATTGCATAGTTTATGTTTAGTTATTGCTTAGTTTATGTTCAGTTATTGCATTGTTTATTAGTCCCCTACCGGTTTAACCGGAGGGGACTTTAGGTTTACCCTCTGTCCGTCCGTACGTCTGTCCGCACTCACAGGAGAGTAATTATGTGGCTAGAGGGACAATAGGTAACTGTTCTTTCTCTTTGATGTCATTCATTCCGTAATGCTTTTATGTGGCTATTTTCTTTTGTGTGACTAAAAAGAACAATAGAGAGAACAATAGAGTAGCCACATAATTACTGTCCTGTGAGAACATCCGTCCGTCCGTTTGTCTGTCTGTCAGTCCGTCCTTCCACAAAACTGGATCCCGCGATAACGCAAAAAGTACTGAAAATATTTTTATGAAACTTGATATATGGATAGATGGCAGTATGGAGATTATGCACGTCTTTTTCTTTTGTTCCTATGTAGAAAATTCTGGTTGCTATGGCAACAAATAGTCTGAAAATATGGCAAATTTAACACATAAACTGGATCCAGTGATAACTCAAAAAGTACTGAAAATATTTTTATGAAACTTGAAATATGGGTAGATGGCAGTCTGGAGATTATGCACATCTTTTTCTTTTCTTCCTATGTTGAATATTCTGGTTGCTATGGCAACAAATAGTCTGAAAATATGGCAAATTTAACACATAAACTGGATCCAGTGATAACTCAAAAAGTACTGAAAATATTTTTATGAAACTTGAAATATGGGTAGATGGCAGTCTGGAGATTATGCACATCTTTTTCTTTTCTTCCTATGTTGAATATTCTGGTTGCTATGGCAACAAATAGCCTGAATTTCAAGATTTCTGATTTAAATTTTTTCAGCTTTTTCACCATAAGTTCTTTATTTCTTAAGGTGTTTACTTCAAACTTTAAATATAAGTTTCTGGTCATCAACAACATCATATGTGACAAGGTTTACAACTCTAGCACAAAAATTATCAGTATTACCTTCCTTGAACTTAGAATTGTTATGAAAAAAATGTTGTCTTTTTTAAATAACTTCTTTATTATTTTTAAATAACTTTTTTATTTCCTAATGTATCTACTTCAAACTTCATATATATGTTTTTTATTATCACTCAACATTTTTGAGAAGGTTAAATACTCTAGCAAGCCTATTTCCAGAATTATGTCCCCCTTGAACTTAGATTTTTTTCGAGAAATTGGTATTTTTTACTCCAACTTCTTCATTCCTTATAGGATTTACTTTAAAATCCCACATCGTAATAATATGACAAGGTTGTATAAACATAATTTCCTTACTAGGCAAAAAAACTTAACACATTACTGTGATATAGACAACTTAGAACTCAAAAGATTTAAGTTCATTCATGTCATTCATTCACTGGTAAAATTGAATAGCCAATGGCCCATCAGAATGTTGCTGGGGTTCTTACCGGTAGGGGACTTATGGATTGCTTGCAATACTATGATAATTGCTTGTGTTCAATTATTGCATAGTTTATGTTCAGTTATTGCACATTTTATGTTCAGTTTTTGCATTGTTTATGTTCAGTTATTGCATAGTTTATGTTTAGTAATGGCTTAGTTTATGTTCAGTAATTGCATACCGGTAGTTTATGTTTAGTTATTGCTTAGTTTATGCTCAGTTATTGCTTAGTTTATGTTCAATTATTGCATAGTTTATGTTCAGTTATTGCATAGTTTATGTTTAGTTATTGCTTAGTTTATGTTCAATTATTGCATAGTTTATGTTCAGTTATTGCATAGTTTATGTTTAGTTATTGCTTAGTTTATGATCAATTATTGTATAGTTTATGTTCAGTTATTGCATAGTTTATGTTTAGTTATTGCTTAGTTTATATTCAATTATTGCATAGTTTATGTTCAGTTATTGCATAGTTTATGTTTTGTTATTGCTTAGTTTATGTTCAATTATTGTATAGTTTATGTTCAGTTATTGCATAGTTTATGTTTAGTTATTGCATGGTTTATGTTTGGTATTGCACAACTGTTTGAAAAAAAAGAAGAGAAAGATGTGCTTTTGTTATTACCCTCCCATCATCATCCTTTTAGGTTTACTATTTCTTTTCAAATTTTCATTGTTATTCTACTTAAAGCATTGAATAATTGTGCACTATCAAAATGGAAACCGTCTTCAAAAGTACAGGTATCTGAAATTCAGTTTGTAGGTCAGTAAACATTTATTATCTAGCTCTGATTTTCATTTTGTTAAATGTTAAGAAAAAAATTGAGTAATGATAATTCAAATTTTACGATAACTACTTCTTATAATTGCTAACATGAGTTTGACCTTTACTTTTTCAGGGTGACAATAGTCAGAATGGAAATCTAAAGCCAAGTACAGACGAGCAATAGAATAAAGTATGATAAAGAAAGGGAGACAATAATGATAGGTTTGTTTGATATATTACTGTCAATTACCTACCTTTAAACATTATTTTAAAATTCAGAAAAACAATTAAAATCAAAGAAATTCTCTCACCATATCTTTTTTAGGTATTTCCTTTAATTTTCATGCTTACACCATTATTATACCCCCACCACAAAATGTGGGTGGGATGGGCTATAATGGATTCGCTTTGTCGCATAGGTCGGTCGGTTGGTCCGTCCGTCTCCATTTTCGTGTCCGCTCTATAAAACCTATACCAATTGAAGGTTTTTCTTCAAACTTGGCTCAAATGTTCACCTCAACAAGGGGATGTGCAGAACCCATGTTGCCCATGTGTCAGCTCAAGGTCAAGGTCACAATTGAAGGTCAAATATCAAACAATCAAAGATTAGACAGTATGTCGAGTCTGCTCTGTAAGTCCTACACTAATTGAAAGATTTTCTTCAAAATTGGCTCAAATGTTCTTCTCAAAAAGGGGTTGTGCAGAACCCATGTTGCCCATGTGTCAGCTCAAGGTCAAGGTCACAATTGAAGGTCAAATATCAAACAACCTTATATTAGACAGTATGTCGTGTCCGCTCTGTAAGTCCTACACTAATTGAAAGATTTTCTTCAAAATTGGCTCAAATGTTCTTCTCAAAAAGGGGATGTGCAGAACCTATGTTGCCCATGTGTCAGCTCAAGGTCAAGGTGGATGCGCAGGCTGGTCTGGATCCATGCTGGTCGCTAACCCATTACGTTGGTTTTGTCATGACGCGGCTCATTTATGAAATTTTACCTTTTAATAAGTGATGAATGTTAGAATGATTTTTTCCAAATTGGAAGATAAGCAAGTCAAAAATAGCATAGAAAGGGTTAAAATCTGTCATATTTGATAATATACTAAAGTGAGTATACTCTGTTCATTTCAGAAAGTGACAAACAGAATGTATAAGTATTTTTATATGAGAGCAACATGACGTAACACCAGTGATACAAGCTTGAGAGAAGAATGTCACAGTTGTTTGGAATAAGTATAAACCCACGTAATCAACTCTTGCCAAAAATTATCCAGAATTTAGAGGATTTTATTTTTATTGCATGCATTTGTATAAGGAACTAGATCTCCAATACATGTATCATAGTCCCGCATGTTTATTATACATTGTCATTAAAAGTTCTTTTCTTGCTAGTTAATGAATTTTTTTCAAATACAGTTTGTAATGCTACATTGGTAAGGTGACATGATTTTTAGCTCACCTGTCACAAAGTGACAGGGTGAGCTTTTGTGATCGCTTTTCGTCCGGCATCCGTCCGTCCGTAAAAAAACTTTTACTTTAAATGACATCTCCTCATAAACCACTAAGCCAATTTCATCCAAACTTCACAGGAATGTTCCTTTGGTGGTCACCTTTAAAAATTGTTCAAAGAATTTAATTCCATGCAGAACTCTGGTTGCCATGGCAACCGAAAGAAAAAACTTTAAATATCTTCTTTTAAAAAAACGTAAGAGCTAGAGCTTAGATATTTGGCATGAAACATCTTCTGGTGAGTGTCTACCAAGTTTGTTCAAATAAAAGCCCTGGGGTCAAAATTGGCCCCGCCCCAGGGGGTCTTTGATTTTCCCTATATGCATATAGTAAAAACTTAAAAAATCTTCTTTTAAAGAACCCAAAGAGCTAGAGCTAAGATATTTAGCATGAAACATGTTCTAATGAGTGTCTACCAAGTTTGTTCAAATAAAAGCCCCAGGGTCAAAATTGGCCCCGCCCCAGGGGGTCATTGATTTTCCCTATATGCATATAGTAAAAACCTAAAAAATCTTCTTTTAAAGAACCCAAAGAGCTAGAGCTAAGATATTTAGCATGAAACATCTTCTAATGAGTGTCTACCAAGTTTGTTCAAATAAAAGCCCCGGGGTCAAAATTGGCCCCGCCCCAGGGGGTCATTGATTTTCCCTATATGCATATAGTAAAAACTTAAAAAATCTTCTTTTAAAGAACTCAAAGAGCTAGAGCTAAGATATTTAGTATGAAACATCTTCTAGTGAGTGTCTACCAAGTTTGTTCAAATAAAAGCCCTGGGGGTCAAAATTGGCCCCGCCCAGGGGTCATTGATTTTCCTTACATCTGTATAGCAAAAACTTAAAAATCATCTTTGAAAAAACCCAAATAGCTAGAGTTTAGATATTAAGCATGAAACATCTTCTAGTAAGTGTCTACAAAGTTTGTTCAAATGAAAGCCCTGGGGTCAAAATTGGCCCCGCCCCAGGGGTGTCATTTATTAACTATATGTGTATAGTAAAAACTTAAAAAAATCTGCTTTTAAGAAACCCAATGAGCTAGAGCTTAGATGTTTAGCATGAAACATCTTCTTATGGGTGTCTACCAAGTTTGTTCAAATAAAAGCCCTTGGGTTAAAATTGGCCCTGCCAGGGGGGGGGGGGGGGCTATATACAGGTGAGCGACTTCAGGGCCATCATGGCCCTCTTGTTATTGTTTTCTGTTGAGAAATACCTTTCTGAACATCTGTTTATTCATTTTAGTCAAATGTATAAAGAAGAATGTGATTCTTTGATGAAGTTCTAAAATGTTACAAATATAGACAACTGTGACGAATTTCATAATCTGATGTGTTAGGAAACTTTCTTTAATATATACTTGAAATTTTTCTTTATGATATACTTCACTTTATACACCTGACATGTTAATTTCTCGTATTTCTTTTAATTAATTCAGATATCATTGTAGGTTTTTGTATATAAATGATGTTTTTTCATTGGAGAGATGATTCAATATCATTGATAGTTAGTAACGTTAACAAATATTTATTAAAGGTTACTGATATAAAGTCAGGGACACTGATATAAAGTCAAGGTTACTGATATTTAGTAAAGGTCACCAATATAAAGTGAAGGTCACTGACATTTAGTAAAGGTCGCCAATATAAAGTGAAGGTCACTAATATTTAGTAAAAGTCACCAATATAAAGTCAAGGTTACTGATATTTAGTAAAGGTCACCAACGTAAAGTGAAGGTCACTGATATTTAGAAGTGGTCACCAATATAAAGTGAAGGTCATTGATATTTAGTAAAGGTCACTGATTTAAAGTGAAGGTCACTGATATTTAGTAAAAATAACTGTTATAAAGTCAAGGTCACTGACATTTAGTAAAGGTCGCCAATATAAAGTGAAGGTCACTAATATTTAGTTAAAGTCACCAATATAAAGTCAAGGTTACTGATATTTAGTAAAGATCTTAACATAAAGTGAAGGTCACTGATATTTCGAAAAGGTCACCAATATAAAGTGAATGTCATTGATATTTAGTAAAGGTCACTGATTTAAAGTGAAGGTCACTGATATTTAGTAAAAATAACTGTTATAAAGTCAAGGTCACTGCTATTTAGTTAAGGTCACTGATATTTAGTTATGATCACTAATATTTAGGAAAGGTCACTGATATTTAGTTATAGTCACTGATACTTAGTAACGGCCAATGATATTTAGTAAATGTCAGCTCTGTAAATGCTTTAAAGAGGCTGTTGTTGTATGTTAATTAGTTGTTTCGGGGCTTTGTCAAATGTTTCAAAAAAATCATTAAGGGACTTTTGCCCGAGGTTAGAATAGTTATGAAGGGGATTTTTTTTCAAATGTTTAATTATTGCCAAGGGGCTTTTGTCAAATGTTTAAAAATTACCTAGGGGCCTTTGTCCACTTACCATCAGTGGACTTATTTCATGTTCTGTTATACTATGGAAATGAATAATAACTTTATTTTTAGACTAATTGGATGTTGCGTTTATTTGTGGTATTCATACATGTGAACTCTCCCACTTTTAGCGGGAGACTCCCACTTTCTGTAGCCATATTTTCAAAAAAATTTCTGAAAATAAGGGGTATTTTCACAAATTAAAGAAATTTCCCTCTTTTAGATGTCAAAACTTTCTTTTTTGTTTATTGCAAATTCTAAAATCTCCCTCTTTTTGAAGAAAAATCTCCCACTTGATGATCCAAAAAAGTTCAAATGAATACCGTATTGATTTGATATTGTAAACAAAACAAAAGTACTTTTTCCACTCTCACGCCTAAATAGTTTAACAGAAGATACCACATTTTAAAAAAAATTTCCTGTTATTCTGTGGAAAAAATATTGGAACAATGAATAATAATGAAAAAATAAAACTAGTGGGAAAGAACTTTTAATAGTATGCATGCTAAATTGTGACAGTCGACTTTCTATTTATGTTATTTTATATATTTACACATTCTTGTGATGTTATAAACTTTTATTAAAGATAAACATGACATTTTATTTATATTTTCTATGATAGTTTTTACTTTTGTTACCACTTGATTTCTAGTACATATTTGAGAATTATAATTTTGACGAATGAAATAAATGTCTACCCTTTACATTAAAATTGTATGATATATGTTATGTATAGACAAATATTTATATTGACTTTCTTCATGACATAAAGTTAAAAGCTATTTTTATACATAATGGACAACAAGTTAAGTTTATATTGTTTATTTTTTATCATTTACGATATACATTGTACAGTGCAACCTTGGCAGAGTGACCTTCTGTTCAGAAATTTCCTTTTACATACAACTGTTTCAAATCTTCATAAAGGGACCTCCGTGGCCATGTGGTTAAGGTCCACTTACCCCTCACAACTGTGAGTAAGAATCCTGACAGGGACTTCAGATTTTTTCATGAGAGAAAATCTTCCAGCTATATAGCTTACAGATTATTGTTGGTTTGAATCAGGAGCCTTTTTGTTCCTGAAATAATGCATGAAGGTATATCTCCACCATAAAAGCTGGAAAGTCACCTAATGACCTTTGCTGTGTTGGTGTGGTTGCATCATGAGCAGGGGGTTGCTCTGCAGAAGTTGTGCAGTAATTTGAATATTTAATCTTTTTGGTTCTTATTTAGGAAAAGATTATCAGATTAATTGATCTTGATCATACTTTACTTATATTTATTGTTCACCACCCTTATAACAATTGTACATTTTGTAAACATTAAAGAAACAAAAAACAACCAGCTAAGTTTCCTTGCTGGTGAATTCCTGCATTTCTAATAAAATTCTCAAGCAAATAAATTGTGTTCTAAATTTTTGATGGTGAATCTATTATTATATACATGTATTCTACCAATATAACTTCAAATAAAAGAGTAATACACTATTACATATTATATAGTTAAATTTAAGCCAAGCTATATTCTATATTTATCCAGGGCATTAATTTTGTATGGTTTTATTTTTTGAAAAGGATAAAAGTAATCAGAATATATATAACATGTGATAGTAGATAGATTGAAGGTGATTGATATTCATCCAGGGTTTATTGTTGTTGATATATTTGTTTAGCTAACCTGTCACTGTGTGACAGTTTGAGCTTTTAGGATTGTTGGCTGTCTGTGGTCCACACATTTTAATAACATCTCTTCTAAAACCACACAGTCAAATATGAATAAAACTTGGCAAAAATAACTTTTGTATGAAGTCCTACCAAGTTTGTTTAGACAGTTTTTGTCAATCACATATCTTGCTCACAGAAGCTTAACATAAAATTTAAAATTGCAACCTTTTTAGTTTCATTTGAGCCGTGTCACAACAAAACCAACGTACTGCATTTGCGACCAGCATGGATCCAGACCAGCCTGTGCATCTGCGCAGTCTGATCAGGATCCATGCTGTTCGCTATCAGTTTTTCTACTTATAATAGGGTTTGTAAGCGAACAGCATGATTTCTGATCAGACTGCATGGATGTGCAGGCTGGTCTTGATCCATGTTGGTCGCAAACCCATTATGTTGGTTTTGTCGAGAAGCAGCTCAATTTTTCCAAAGAAAAAAACAAGTGGAGCTATTGTCATGACCCTCTGGTTGGCTTTGGTTAACTAAAAGTTAAGGTTCAATTTCTCAAAATTATAAAAGCTATTCACTTCAAACTTGGTATACATGTTTATAAAGGGCAGATAATTCTAAAAATCATTTTTACAAAGTTATGTATTTTTTTCTGTCTTGCTTTGATTTAACTCTCTTAAGGACTGTGAAAAATGGAGCACATGGTCTGCAAACAGATCTTGTTAAATTTTCTTCTCAGAAAAGACTAGGTCTAGATATTAGATATATATATGATGTGTAGCATCTCCTTATAAGACACTTACAGTTCTATTAAAATTATATAATAATTTGGACAAAATTTGCCAGGTCTCGGGGGTCTTGGGTTTTTCCTGTATATGTATATAGAAGAAACTTTTTATTTTGAAACATTTTATAGTAGATCTCTACCAAGTGTGTTCAAATTAAACCCCGTGTGTCAAAATTGACCAACCAGGGATCATGAGTTTTCCTATGTGTTCATGCATACAGTAAAAACTAAATAGTTTTTCTCTAAACCCTCAAAAATTTGGCCTGGAATATTGGTTACTGGATTTCTACCAAGATTGTTCAAATTATAGCCTTGGGCTTAGAATTTTATCCTATACCTGGGAGGTGTCTTGTGTTTTCCTTAAATCTATTTTGTAAAACCTTTTACAATCTTCTTAGCTTCCAGATGCTAGACTATTGATGTTTGGCTGGAAACATTGTCGAATGGAGTTCTACAAAGTTTGTTCAAATAGTTGTGGGGTCAAAATTGGCCCAGCATAAGGTCAAAATATAACAATGAAACAGTTCATATCAACCATTGATTTCCTTAACAGAGGATTCCATAACATCCATTGACTTTCTTAGAAACCAGGCACTTTTATAGCCTCCATTGACTTTCCATGGGAACCAGTCACTTTGATAGCATCCATTGACTTTCCTTAGGAACCAGCCCCTTTTATAACAACCATTGACTTCCTTTAGCAAGCACTTATTTCCATAGCACTGCAGGCATCTGCAGCAACCAGTGAACTCCAAAGCAAACATTGACTTTCAATAGCAACCGGTGAAAATCTTAGACAATTGCTCATTCTTTCGAACTGGCAAGTTTGGGATAACATCACAAGAATCGTTCATGTGTAACCCACTACCTAGTAAGTTTATGCAGAACAATGAGGCTATAGGGGCCATTAACTTGTGCTTTGATGAAGCTTTAATGGTCATGTCAGACATCTTCACTAATCCTGTTTTAAAAATAATTTTGTATAAACAGTTTCTGCACAACTCCTGTATTGAATTGTTTTAAATAATTTGACATAAAGTATAATTCAGATCGAAATTATGTCCTTAAATTGTAGAAAACTGACAGGTGGACAAACAGTCCACATCTATGCCAAAAACCATGACACATTTGTTTACATTATTCAGTCTTTGCTGTGACTAATTTGTTGAAAGCTATACTGTTTGCAGATTCGGCTTAACAAATACGTTACTGTCTATTATATTATGTGACTATTTTGTTTTTACAGGGTTGTTAGATTTTATTTTTCAGGTAAAATGTTATTTTATATATTTTTATGTAAAACTTTCTACTGATATATCAATATTTAGTATAAATTATCTAGTGCCATAATGTTCTTTTGTTTTTGTTTGTTTTCCTGTTTCTTTCCTCGACCAATTGCCCATCGGCGCGAATTGCTCATCGGTGAGAATTGCCCATCGGCGCGAATTGCTCATCGGTGAGAATTGCTCATCGGCGAGAATTGCTCATCGGTGAGCATTTTTGATCACACTAAGTGCGTTGTTCATTGTTATTCATAATTTCTTTTAACATCCTAAAGAAAAATTTCACCAAGCTTCATAGGATTAGTGCTTAGCTGTCCCTCCATTAAAACTTATATATGAATGGTTCTAGTTTGATGCTTTTGTACACAACAAGAGCTGAAGATACACAATTTATATAGACCTCCTCATTTGTATCTAACATTATTTTCTGCACATACAAAAGTTAAAGAAATCATGACTTTGAGCAAAAATTGGTCTCTCTCTCTCTCGGGGTCACTTAGTTTATATAGAGTAACCGAGAGAAAAAATATTAAACTATTTTTACACAAATCCCATACCATACAGAATGTGATTATCATAAGCACAAATCACGTTTGATTATTTTACGATATAACAAGTAGGTGTTTTGTTATACCCTTCTTAACTTAGTACAGAGTTAATATGGTTAACTATATTTATACTTTTAATTACACATGAGAGACTTGCGTTCATTATAATTTGTTCTAGAGGTAGATTCATAACAATAACTTCTTGAGATACGTTCATAATTTTGAGTTCAGGAGAAACGTTCATAACAAGATACATTTATATCAAAAAGTTCTGGAGATACATTAATAACAAGATACGTTCATAACAATAACTTCTTGAGATACGTTCATAACAAGATATGTTTATAAAAATAAGTTCTGGAGATACGTTCATAACAAGATCTGTTAATAACTATAATTCTGGAGCTACGTTCATAACAAGATCTGTTCATAACAAGATACCTTCATAAAGGTAAGTTCGTTAGATATTTCATAACAAGATATGTTTATAACGATAAGTTCTTAAGATACGTTCATAACAAGAATACGTTCATAACTAATTTCTGGAGATACTTTCATAACAAGATATGTTCATAACAAAAAGTTCTTGAGATATGTTCAAAACAAGACACGTTCACAACAAACTTTGGAGATATTAATTAAAATGAAACACTTCTATAAGTATTTTATGATTTTACTTGAATAAAAGTACAAAAGTGATACTGATAAAAATTTCACGTAATTGACAAGTTTCACTGTATTTAGCGTATTTCATGTGCTTTAAGGAAATTGCAAAAGTCATGCATTAAAATGAAAAACTTGTTCAAGTGTTTTCTTTTTTGTTTTTCGTTTTTCCTATTGGACTATAGTTTTAAATATTAACAAACAAACTCAAGTTGTAACTTCCTGATTTAACATGTTTTATGTTCTTTAATAGTGTATAAACATTGCAGTATTAATGTATGGTCTAGTTTACAACATGCAGATACATTGTTTTGTTGTTATTTTTTGCTTTTAACTAAAGTAGGCGTTTAGTCGATCAGCGGACAGTTTCATTGTTGAAATATGTCGGTGATAAAAAAAACAAGCAAATATTGTTATGAATTTTCAAGTTTAAGGTTAAGAGACACCATTTTTATATAAAAAAATGTATGCAATACATTGCATACAATTTTATGTAATTTCTGTTAAGAATTGCATTGACTGTATACATTTGTTTCAATTTCTAATATTATTTCATAATAGTTTATTGGCCGCATTTCAGTACATGTATCTCTTGTTGATTAAAAAGGTTATTCACCGGTAGTTCATAAAAAAACAACTTAAGCATAATGCATATATAGCTGTATCAGAAATGGTTTTATTTGACCGGATTTACTCGGAACATGTCTGACCTTAAATAAGAGTGGCATAGCACCTCACGTCATCATGATGTGACGAAGTGAAAGTACAGAAACTGTTATATATAATTTTATATTTTATCCATATTTTCTAGTGCTCTCGTATCCGACATCAAATAGCTTTGTAATATGATGGCTATATCATGTTTTATTTTGCACTTAAAAGTTCGATATTTATATTAATATTTACAAGTATTTGTTATCATTCATGAATCAAATAATGTCTTCGTTTGGTTCATTCACTGTATGTGATATTGTTTTGTTAAAAGTATATTGGGAATAAATGAATATAAACGGTTTAGGTAAATGTATTTATTCTTGTAGTTTACGGTTGTATAAGATGGCCTGAGAATGTTGAGAAAGATTGGCCGTAAAACACGTTACTGTCACTCTCCGGAATATGCTCAACCCACACGTCCTGTCCTGCGTTCAGTTCAGCCGTCACTGTCTTGCCAGCCATTGTCCACTGAGCGCTGTCGCCAGTTCGAAGTTTCGCAATGGGAACGCCGTCTGAAAAGAGCATAACTTACTCTTAGAAAATTAAGTGCAGTTGTGACACTGTCCTTTTATGTACCAAGTAAAATATGTTAATCAACAAGAAGTTAGCATACTGTCCTGTTACCTCGACTTACCGAGGACTTGTAGGGCTTGCATTAGTGTCAAAATAACTCTGATGTAGCAACTATTTAAGGTATGATTCACAAGTTCAAGGCACGTTACTCTAAGATTGGTTTTGAATATAAAATTTACATGAAATTTCACACATCTTTGGGTCATAGTTGCCCATAACTCCTGTTTCAAGTTTTGCTTAACCACCTCAATATTGTGTACTTACATGACACTGTACATACTCGGAATATGAAATGTTGGTCAATAGCAAATACCCAAAACTGGATATGGATTTGGCTAGAGCGAAGTTAGAAACTTATTACTCTTTACTTGAATGGAATCTTCTACACTGTACAGGCTTATCCAGGCTTTGTTTTACTATCAAACACTAAGAATGGTCAAGCATGCTGTCCTACACACAGCTCTTGTTTGTTAATTTGTATGAATGTGGTTATATTGATTTATGCATGTTATATTTTGGTGGAGAATATTTCTTTCCCCATTTGCCGTTGACTAATTTTATTTCTAAATATTAATCCTTACAAAAAACTACATTTATTACAAACTTTAAGATTATAAATAGGAGCTTATATTCAAAAGGTATCCGTTAATGGTACAATGTGCTTAGACCAGGAATAAAGAACATCAGCTTATGATAAGAAAGAGCAAAATGTTGCCAAATTAACATTCGAAAACAATAACTTACCTCGGACTATTTCTACGCCTGCCCATTGACCAGGTTTCATTAACATTGATACCGAAAACTCGTAAGCCCCCGTCACTGGTGCTCGGAATTCCCCATGTCGGCTGTCGTACGCATTACCTATGTTCGTGAGTATCTGAATAAAATTTACAAAATTATGAATTTAGTAAACAAACGACTAATTGTAGAGTGTATGTTTTGTTTACGTGTAAAGTCGTGTCCAGTGTCCACTGAATAGCATATACCCCGGTCACATATTCACGGAATACGCTCACGGAAGAGCCACGGAGTAATTCCGGCATCGTCCGTAGCTACCCGTACTGGTCAGTAGCTCTCCGTATTGTAACCGTAATCAATCGTAGTAGTTCTTGTATATTCGTAGCGGTCCTTGACAATTTTTGAACATGCACAAAAATTTGCTACGGAAAAATCAACCGTAGCGTATCCCTGATTAGTCCGTATTAAACCGTACTGATACGTGGTGGTCCGTACAAAAACGTTTTAGTCCGTAGTGATTCGTAGTCCACCAACTTGTCAAGGATTTCCACGGTTTGGTACAGAGAACTACCTATTTGTACGGTTACCCTACGTATAAGCTACGGTTTTAATACGGACTTATACGGCATTGTCACGGAATGCCACGATCGTAATGCGTTGTACTACGGAGAGACAGGGATTAGCACGGTCTTATAAGGTTCATTGCGTTGCAACACGAAACGGTACGGAATGGTACGGTCCACCACTGTTTAGTACGGATGAATTAAGTATCATGTACTTTTTCAAGGGTATAAATATTACCTTCTTGTTAAAAACAGACATATCTGAGGGAACATTCAATAAATGATAAATGCCATTTACTGGCTGCAAATTTATATTGAAATGGCACAGAATGCGGAGGCAGTGGTCGAGCTGCTTGATGACATGCATATAAGTAAATTTATATCGATATCGTACTACAATTCATAAGTTATAAAATAACATTTAATGTTACATATTTTACGAACATTGCATCGTGAAAATACCGCCTCCGTGGTCGAGGGGTTAGAGTCGATGACTTCTAATCCAGTTACCTCTCTGGCGTGGGTTCGATCCCCGGGAGATGCTTTGGTAGTTTAGCGCGGAGGAAGGTAGTCTAGTACTGGTGTAACTCTCCAGGAAGGATGGTTAGGAAACTACCCGCCTATATGACTGAAATACTGTACGGAAAAGGCGTAAAAAACGAAACAAACAAACAAACAAACAAAGCATCGTGAAACAGGAGAAAACGAAGTGTTTCATAAGCCTCGGACTCTGGCCCTTAAGTGATAATAAATTGATTAACAAGCTTTTTACATATTTTTAAAACATTAACATTCGCGATAATTAATGTGATTGTAAAATGAAGAGCAAATTTTAAAATTAAAAGAGAAGCAGTATTGATCACCATTTTTTCATTACTAGTCCATATCTAAAAAGGTAAGAGAAGACAGACGAGATGGTGGACTAGAGATGGGCTTTTACGAACACCCCTTCATGTTTAGTATAGGCTCTCATGGCCGAACTTGTTGAGGATCCAGGGTCCTTCAAGAAATTTACTTTAATCGGACCTGATGTGTATCGGGGGTCGGACGCGATTAGACCGAATCCTCTCCGCCAAAGTCATTAAACTCTGCAAATCGTTTTCTAGATGTTCTTTTCTTGCGAGGCATTTTGCAAGAGGTGATAGATGGATGTATTAGGTCCGTATAGATCCGTGGCAATTCGTTCTTCTCCGTATCAATTCGTTCTTCTCCGTATCAGACCGCACTTATTCATACTAACCCGTGCTTATGCCGTAGCAGACCGTAGTGTATCCGTAGTGCGTCCGTCCTGATTTGTGTCGCTCCGTATCAAACCGTGTCGGTCCGTACTGGAACCGTAGCGGACTACGGAATTTCACATTTCCGTAGTAATCCGTAAATGATTAGGCCGTAGCTCGTCCGTGGCATTATCCGTGAATATGTGACCGGGGCAATAATGCGGCATCGTTAAACAGTAGTGATTGAGTGATCCGTGGCATAGCGGCGGTATTGGTCGAGGGGGAAGTACCTCTCCGATCAGATAGGAGACACCTTCCGAATGAAGGTAGACAATAACCTCAAACGAATGAATTCACAATAACAATTATATAATAAAACTTGTGTAAATATGTGAATATAGCTTTCTCTTTAAGGCGTTTATACGATTATTTCTTCTGTGACTAGGAAGAAGACTTTTGGCCAATGTGAAAAATGTTTAAAGATCTGAAGTTCCCCATTCATATCTTATTTATGATAAAAATTGTAGAAATCTTATGCTGGAATATAAATCTACCTTATCAAATGGTATTTGCTGTCTAACACCTAACGATGAAATGTCGGTAGTCAACGTAGCAGAGAACACAACAGGGTTTCTGTGCCAAGGGCATTCACATGTAACTGAAGAAAAGGAAAAACAATTGCAAGGGATGATATATAAAAATACTGCAAACTTTATTTTTGTAATTTGGGTGTATTGTTTAGTTTGATTAAATGCACGTGCGACAGTATTATATCATATGATTATTCAATGAGCGTTTAAACTGTGTTTTGCTTGTTCTATCCTTAAGTCAATGCCAACTTCTCCACACAAATCATTCATAGCAATTGTTTAGGAATTAGCAATTGTTGAGGAATTACAAAAGTATAAGGCATATTGTTGTTAACAAACTTGCCCAGAAATAAAACATGGACCCAGGATTCGAACTGAAACTCCGAGCTCAGCAATCATCACGTTAGACCAAAATTTTTAAACCGGCGGACAAATTACATGAAACGCCCTTTCCGTATTCAGTTTGTTAAAAAATAAATATTTCCAAGATTCGAAGTAAAACCGACCGTACCGTTATCTTGAAGAAGTTTTAGTGTATTCAACTCTCTGCCCAGTTCCAATAAATCATTCTCTAGTTTTGTCCTAACAGTAGTTTCTTCCCGTACGTTAATACCAGCAAAGATTTGCGTAACATGCAGCTGGGACGTCTTGCGCAGAACGACAAGTCCAAAAAACTACGTTTCAGAAAGTAATAGTTTCAATAAAATTATCATTTTCATTTTTATTCCAGTTTTTTGTTTTAATTGAAACTAGGACGAATTCCACTGTATAAAACCAGAATGTTATGCCGAAATGTACATGAGCCGTTATCAATTGCACAAAGCTACTTTCTTATCTGTAGTGTATATGTTGGACAGTCCGAATATTTGAATGTAAATTATAATCTTGGCATTTTAGATTATAAAACAGCCTTCCCTTTTTGGAAAGGTGTTAGAAGAGTTCGGATAAGACGTAGTGTTGTAATTGTGACTTATGCTATCTGCAACAAAGATATTTTTGGCTACTTTTCAAAATTAAATCAAGGGTCAATTTATCACTTATTAGATTCAGTTTTAAATATGAAGATTACAGGGGCAGATAACTTCGAAACGATCCTTCAGTTGTTTTATTATAAAATCATGCAAAGTTTCGACAAATCCTATGACATAGTTTTCATTCTGTTTATTAAAAAAAAAAAAAAAAAAAAAAAAAAAAAAAAGCAAGTGAACGTCAGTCCTTACTATTATTTCCTCCCATTTTTAACTGTTCTGTTAACAAGCTTTAAGTTCAAGATTTTCCTTAACCTATACTAGATTGTTGTACATGCATTTATAGTTGAAAATACACGTACTTTTTTAATGTTTGATGTCTGAATTTAGTGGTTTAATTCTGTATTATAAATATTTAAATACCATTTCTTCCCTGTTGACTAAAAATGAAATAGGCTGATTCATACATATACTTGTATGCAATTGTTTGCAATAAGCAAATAATTTAGGCTTATTTGGCGGCGATGGGTGTGGGATGTTTATATTGATAAATTTTCTTCGACTGCCACCAACATGTGTTTTGAATAAACAAATGACAATTCAATTTGTTTATTTTTATCACAATACGGGCTGTAATAAAATAAATAACAAAAATGTCTTAAAATTATATAAATGTATGTTGAATTTTATATATTTTTCTTACTGTTAAATTAAAGCCGTATTTTACAGCTTTTATATCAAAATCTATCATCTTTATTTTAAAGTAAACTAAAGTAAAAAAACTGCTTTTAAATTTTGTTTGGTCCCTAAGACAAAAAAGGTTTACAAAACTGATTTAAAATATAAATTTTTTTTCCCCTTTTTTTTTTAAAAAAAATTATTTTCCGCTTTTGTTACAAATTTTCTCATTCTTTTTTTAATTCCCAACCCCCTGGGAATTGAAAAAATAAATTTAAAAAAAAAAACCCCAATTTTTTCAAATTGTTTTTTTTTGGTTTTTTGTGAAATACAAGTTAGTATTAATCTAAAGTCAAATTTCCCCGTCTTTTCATTTGATCTTTTGGGTATAAATTAGGGGTTTTTTTTAATAAGCGATATTTAAAGGGAAAATAGTTTTATTTAAAATAATTGTTTTTTATCTGAGAAAACTTAATCCCGGGAAATTTGTTTTAAATAAATGCCCCCCTTTAAAAAACCCAAAAATAAAAAACCCAAAGGGGGAAAACCCGTAAAAAACTTCCTTAAAAAAATTTAAAATTTTTAAAATGTTGAAAGGCTCGGTTTGGTTTGAGCAGTTAATGGTTTTAGTTTCTGGAAAGGGGGGAAACCGTCCCCCCCCAGCACCGGTTAAAGCAGAATTCAATTTTTAAATTAAAGGGTTAAATGGTGTTTTTTTTAAAATTTAGAACCCCCTTTTCACAAATGTTTTTTTACCGGTTTATCAGGGAACCTTCAATTTAACGGGTAATTCCTTTCCCATAAAAAGCGGCGTATGGCCCAAAAATTTTAAAAAAAATGTTTTGGATTCTAAAAGATTTGGGAAAATTAACCCCTTCACAAGTACAATTTTAAATGCCTTTTTTTGAAAAACCTTGTCTTTTAAAATTCACATTTTCAAAAAATTTTTTCCCCACCCCAAACCGTTTTTAGGCCCGATAGGGAAGAAAAATGGACTTTGGATTATGTTTTCCCAAAAATCCCTCTTTTTTTGGACACTGAAATTGTTTTTAAAAATTTTTTTCTATTTTTTTGAATTTTGGGTGTACTGTTTTAATTGCAAAAACGTGTCATTTTATAACAAGCGGGGTTTTTGCATTAATTTTAACATTTTTCATTTTGATGAAATAACTTTCTGAAATTACCCCTAAAAAACACACTGATTTTGTGAAAAAAATTTCCCAAATAATAAGTAATTTGGGTTTACCATTATTTTTTTTTTCCCAAATTTTTTACCAAAAAATACTTTTTCTGTTCCAATTGGAAAATTTTTGGAAAATTTTTAAAACCTTTCCCCCCCAAAAAAAGGGTTCCCATGTTTAGTTATATTGTTGGGGAAATAAAAAAAAAAACATTCATTTGTTTGGGGTTAGGTATTTGTACCATACGTGGTTGAAAAGATTTAACAGTAAAATCAAAGTTTTGAAATTATTGAAAACCAATGGAGTCAAAACAAAAGTGATAATTGAGGCCAAAAGGTTCGAACTCAACAACTACCGTATGTGATTTTATTCGAGAGTTAAAATCCAACGACCAATGAATTAAGCATAAAAAACGTTATCAGGAAGTTCGAAATATACGACAGAGCAACTTAATGGCCTGTGCTAACAGGCATCATATCTATGGCATTTTTTTAAAGTGTTAAAAAGCTTCCTTCTGATTCGCTAATGCACCTTCAAATCATCAATATGCTTGTAAAAGAACGCTCGTACAGATAAATTTTACATCTAAATTCAATACAAAATTGTCTTTGTAGGAAGCAACCAATAATCATTAATGCTGGAAAACTCTTTCTTTTATCGTATACATGTATTTGAAATGCATCGTCAAAAAATCAACTGAATTCATTTTTTGACAAATGATGTACAAGAAAGATATTCTTCGTTTGATATGTCTCCGATCTCAACAGTGCTACACTATTTTTAGAAGATCTGATATTGCCAAGCACACTATTCTTGTTTATATCAGTAAAACATTTTTTTACGTAAAACCTTTAAATGAATTAGTGTATAGACAGGAATACAATATGAATCGGACGTTTCACAGATTGATATCTTAACTTGTCTGTTTCAAACGATTTCATTTTTTTTCCTTTTAAAAATCCCGACATCCGGACAGAGAGTTCGGTGATCTACCTCTACACGACACTTCCTCCTCAAGTTCATGAAATACTATCAACTCAGTTATTCATCAAAGCCATTATATAAATACTATAATCGGATTACACTAATACATGATAAAAATGATTGGTTCTTTGAACGGAGAGACTTTGCATAGTTTGACAAAGGTTATAAACGGTCAAAAACATCCGAGAAAAAGAAACATTGAACAGTATAAAGCAATTTGTGATGATTTTTTTATTAGATTTATAAATGGTAAAATTATGATGTTGCTAAAATGTCTATTCTCTAAAGAGTTGTGAAGATAAAAATATCATAGAATAAAATTTCCCAATCAAAATATGCTGCTTATTTAAGTAGGGGTTTAAACCGTCATTTGCTCCTAAGGAAATATACAAACATATTTCTTTACAATAATATTTAAAAGTATTAATTCTTAAAATTAAGACAATAATTTTGTAAACTACATGCAGAATATATAGAGCCATATAATGTATAATTTAATTACTTTTAATCAGATTTAGATAATTATGTCCTTTTGTGGATACACGTGTTTCCTCAAATTTATTCTTTAAAACCTTTATGTATTTTTTGACTTTACTGTATTTCTTTTAAAATAGAAACATATGCTGACCGGATAATATGAAATAATTCATAAGAAAACATTCACATTTAGTCGCATAAAGGGAATTTTCACACGTGCTATATTTCAAGTATAGCCAATCAGAAGTTAAGGTACATCAATCAACTCCAGGACATTCCTTATTTAAGATGATGGGTAATATTTTACCAATCGTTTATACGTCAGTTTGTTTACGGCATATCTGTACATACATGGTCTGTTTCCTTATACGCAACAGCGGCAACATATTTTTACACGGAATGTCCGCAAATGATCACTTGGCTTTCCTTTGAGGCATGTTATTTCAAATGCATATTCGATAACAATTTGTTCTTTCTGTACCAATCAAACTTTATTTTACCAATCTTACTTTGTAGTGAACCGATGTTATTTTATATTTGTTTATTATAGAAAATACAACATGAATGAAATAAATTCGTCTGTTTAAGTTAAAGGGGGGAGCGAACAGGAACGGAAAAAAACAACCTGACTTTTATTAAAACATTTTAAAGCGATGTAAAAGATGCATGGATGATTATTTCCGAAATATATGATGATATCTGTAGTAAACGTATTGTTGGGGATTTTCCTTTAAAATCAAGGAACGATTTACTTCTAATGAGATATTAATGTAAAATTATCTAATTATGACGTATTTCCCTTTAATTCCCTGTTACAGGAAGTCCCAATTTCAATTGTTTTAAACAAGCAAATTTTTTTAAAAAAAAAAAGCGTTTTTGAAAACTCCATAGGGCAATTTATCTCATCATTTTAAAAAAATATGTTTACAACCTATTTTCTTTAATAGGGGCAAAACCAAATCTTCCCAGGGTGACCAGTTTTCAGCAAAAAGATACTTTTTTTTAAGGAAAGAGCGTCGAAAACTAAAAACGAAAA